AACGTACAGTAAGCATGACAGCGTAGTATACTACTATCAATGCCTGTCTATACATATTATAATCTTCAAACCAACACTAAGGGCAGCCGAGACTGATAGTCACAAAGGGATTGAGGGGACTGAATGGGGTTAAAAAAGGCAAGATTCCGTGATTTTCTTTTTCTCTACCTTCCTTTCACCTATGAGATGTTGCAATTTCACAAAATTAAAAAATTGAGCTGATTTTTTTGGAAACAAACAAAATGACATAAACATGCATACCCAGTGAAGTAACAAAACAAGTCATCCAGAAGAAAGCAAATAGATTATAGACTTGTAGCCAGAATACAGTTGACTCTTGCTTGGTAAGTCCAATAAATAAACAGCTTGAATCCTAGAAATTATGAATTGGATTTTTCTGTAAATATAAGATCAGATAAATTACTTGAGCGCTTGTGGAGCAATCACAGGTCGTATTTCGGCCATCGTTTCTCACACACGTTTCTACACCTGAAGACGCCAGCCAGATCGCGATTGTACCCCAAAGAGCGATCACCTTGAATGCGAATTTGAAGAAAAAATGAGAATGAGATTTTTTTTTAAACTTTTGCTTTTGAAAGTATTTTGACTGAAATTTCAAATGTAAAATCTTTTCCCACTCATATCTACATGAATTATGAAGTCTCACCAGCAAATGAAGAGCAAAGGGAAAGATGGGAAAAATCAGAGTCGACATCATATGGCCAACTGCCCTAAAACAAGCTACTTAATAAGAATCATGTTCCTGCTTTCTTTATGTAACCAATCGACATTTTGTAATTTGAAATTGTATAGCTGATAATTTGCCAGGTGAATGTTAAGGACAAAATGCTCTTATCACTTTTTAAAACTTCATGTGACATTTTTATCCAAACTTCCTTATTTAAATCTTCCGACCGTATCAATAGTGCAAAACAGATATAGTCTGGATGTAAAATGGAACCACTTTGTAGCATGTATGCTTTGTACGACAACGTTGTGGCATATATGTGCTCTGATCTCTAAATAATAATGTTCTATAGCCTAGATACACCTTCTAGCTATGTGATCCTCTTAAACTCGTCAAAGGTTTGAAGCAAAATTTTCGCATATTTCTTAAAATTCTTTAATATCAAACTAGGTGGGCTAGTGAGGTAGACTAACTGCCTCTTGAATAGGAAGTCAAAACATTTATTTTTGATTTCACTCACCTACTAGACTCCTCAATCAGTGCCACTGCAATGGATATTCTTTTACGGATGAAGAGAAGAACAAGAAGAAGAATGAGTAGAGCAATGCTTGCAGTAATGGCTGGAAAGTCAAATTCACGATAATATAATGTAGAACAGATCTTTGACAGCATAAATGAGTTACTGCGATTAACAACATCTCTAGACCATAAATTTTAAAGCAAAATTCACTCTTTTGTTTTTTGTATAGTCTCACCACTAAGAGCATCAGTTAATGATAAAAAGGCATACCAAGAAAGGATAAAAGTAGGAGCTTACTCAATAGAACCTATTAAACAGAAAAACCTTCAAAAAACAATACAGTAATTGATGTATGACCAAGCTTAAAGCTACCCAAATTTCTACTACATAACTCCTAATTAAATCATACTAACCAACAATTAGCCAAGTAGTTGGCATTTCAAAGTACACGCTGAATATTGGCTGAAAGGAGAAATCGTCGACTGCTCCAACTTTTCTCAAAGTATTCCATTTAAACCAGCTGTAGCCACAACCTTAATCGATAGAGTAGTAAATTATTAACTTTTTCTCTAAGCTATACCTGCACCAAGTACTGCCAGTATGGCGATAATTGATGTCCAGATCATGAAGCCTCCGAGGATTCTTAGAACTACCGTCCATAGGAATGCGAGCACACCTGCTGCAACTACTAGGGTGGCTATCTGAAATAAGTTTTCCAGTTTTCCAAAAAAAAAAATGCTTGTTCAAAAGAAAAGAATGCTCTTACCTGCCACCAGGACTTTGACAAGTCGTGGACAATCTTTGTGATGACACCCTCTGAGTTGACTACTTGGCCAATATACCTTAAGGTTCCATATTTCCATAACATTGATTGAGGAGCTGTACTAT